GATGGCATAACAACGGTAATGTGTTTTTTAGCATTTAGTATTTTTAAAAAGAAACAAAAGCTAAATCCTCTGCAGTTTAATGTATACTAGACCGAGAAGCTTTAGAAGTCTGCAGCACACTCTAATAGGGTGCCAATGCATTACAATTAGCTAGTAACACTATACCCTTCAGAAGACTGTGATTCAGTAAGGGTTTCTCTTATTGTAAGACATATTTTCTCGATGAAAAAACAAATATTGGGTAAGTTTCAGTATGTCATGGCTATATAAAACCAAGCTCAGATTTCTGTGACACTGAATCAAATCATGGCTGTTGTTTAGTGCCATAGTCAATGTGAAAGTGTTAACAATCAGTGAACAAATACAAGGAAATTAGATGAAAAACGCCTAGCAAAGCATGAAGGCAAAATGCAAGAGTAAGCATACAATAAAACTCAGGTTTCTTTCTGGAAGAAATTATGCTCCAAGTGCAGTAGTACCTCACACAAAACCATGTTCCATATGTTCTTTTTGACAAAATGTATCTCCATCTTCACAAGGAATGAAAAGGCAAAATGCATTTATGATCATGCAGTCAGGAGACAAAGCTCTCCTGGACATGCAACAACTTTTACTAAATTTAATGGAACTATAGACTGTTAAAATTTGTTGTAACAGGAATTTGCCACTAAATATAAAAACAACATTAGTTGATCCAACTGTGTTTAAGGGGGAAATATATCCCGTGTGTCCACACAACATCGTACGAAAAATTTATTAAGTTCTAAGCTTTGCATCTTCATCACTGGGTTTTTGTGCTGCTCAACCAGACACAATAGCAGCGCTGGGCCCAGGCAGTCACATACGTTGCTGAAGTGACTCCCTGTCTGCATCCTTGGTGCTCTCTCACTGGCAGAGGTTAGTCAAGAAAATAAGCTGACTTGACTTCAAACTTTGTTAATAGTAGGTCCTTGCAAGATTGGCTTGGCTTGGATGAATCAGAGACCCAGAAGTGACTGCAGATCTGAGGTGGAGTAATCATTATTGGGGAATGACAAATCTCTTGAGCGGCAAATGTAAGACGAGTTTATTTTTAGATTGAAACAGGGCATTGTTTGTGGTTTGGGGATCAGTGGCTAGGACCTTCTAGATAATGTGCCTTCTTCCCTCCTTCCCCAGTCACAAAGTGCTGATCGTATCTGACCTCAGCCAGTCAATTCAAACACGGTGAAGAGGAAAAGTAAACCAGTTAATGTCGTATCAACCAGTTTCATGCTACACCTGGTACCACCTGTCCTTCCCAACAGGCATCAAGGTGCAAAACTATCACAAATAGCATTTTCTGAGCGATGGGTAAGTTACTGGGTTCCCACAAATGGTCTTGACCACTGTTGTTCTTCCGAATGACCCCGCACTGACCTGGCCCAGCACAAGGGTGCAGCTCCACGCACCCCATCGTGCTTCCCTCCTCTTCTTATGCCAGGGGTACATTCTTGTAAACTTCAGTTTGTATTGCCAGAGACCTGGAGTATGAGACTTCCAAGTGGTTTCTTAGCCACGAGAGGGAGTCCGTGTTACCAGGAAAGAGGAGATGTAGTAATTTGAGGTCAAATCCTTCCTTCAGATCAAACTGCCTTTGACCTTTAGTCAGACAAAACGACAGTACATACCAATGCCTATGGTTGACAAGTACGGGATTTTTTGCAAGACTAGTAAAAGCAGAACTTTCAGCTTTTGTTAATGTTGAAAAAAAATAAAAGGCAAATTAAGACTTCTGAGCTGTGACAAACTATTGCTTTAGCTCTTTCTTCTGGCAGCAGGCCAGTATTTCCCAGGGAAACCAAAAAGAAATACTGCTCTTTAATGTCAATATCTGGGTGTGCAACTCTACGTGCAGGGAACAAAACCCCTAAAGCCTGCTGCTATACCCTCCACATTTTTTCCCAACAAATGGCGCTAATATTGAAAATGCATTATTTAAGCATTTGGTATTCCCTGCCTCTTTCTCCTGAGTTTTGGCACGACAACAGTTCTTTGCAGAAAGACTAACCAAGGAAACTGCTACGTGTACAAATTGTAAGAGTCATCCAGCCAGCAGCAGAAATAAAACTGAGGACTGTATTGCATGTAGGCAGTTAAAATTATTACCAGCAGATACTATATATAGTACCTTGGAATGGTTCTTTACCAAGCAAGTTCAACACAGCGCCTGAACATTTTGATGATTTCAGAGAATAAACGGAACAACAGGATAAAACCTGATTGCATGAGATGCTTACAAAACTCAACTGCAGACAGCAGCAGTTTTTCCAGTGGCCTCACTGGGCTTGGGTTCAGCCCACAGATCATATTGGGAAAGAGAAGGGCGTGACCAGATCACGATGACTTTGTGTGATGCCTGGGGCTTCTCTATGAGAGAGAGTGCAATGAGGTACCCTCTGGGATTAAAGCAGTCATGATAGTGAAGGTGTACATTAACATTTCTGTGGGCTTCTCACATGATTTGTAGCATGCAGTTGCAAAAAAAAAAAGAGCTAAACGGAAGCTATAGACTTGTGGCCTCTGTTAAATCCATTTATCATACCTAAAAACATTCTAAAGTCCATATTCATATGTTTTTCCAAAACCTGCCAGCTATTCTAGTTCGAAATATGGCACTCCAAAATGTACTAAATAATCATACTCACTAGCTACTGCAGTGATCGGTTTGCTATTTTCAAAAAATAAAAATATAAATCATCAAATATGGACCATAGTCACTCTCATAAAAAAGTAAAAATATGAGTTTACTAAAAGCAGAGCTTTTTTGACAAATATGTGTATAGGTGTATGATTAAAAGGGCAAGAATAGTCTAGAGACAAATTTAGGAGGAAATTAAAAAGTTTCTAACCATGGTAGGAGTTGTGGCAACAAAAGTCCTAACTGAGTGTAGAACACTGCTCAGCTCATAAGCCTGCGCGAGTTTCTGCAGTTCCCTGTTCCTAGTCCCCTTCTTTGATTAAGTGCACCAAAGATCTCATGCCATGCAAGATCCAAGGCCTACATTAATGATGAAAGAGGGTGAGATGAAAGATACGGGACTCCCTGATGTGCTCTAAAGGCACCTGCTTCAATATCAGAAAGTACCAGTGACAGAAGCGGTTGGTTACATGACAAACTGCACCGAGCTCAGCAGGACGGGGAAAGAGGAATCTCAGGTTGGATTCACAGAAAAGCTCTATGTTTAATGCCCTGTTCAGGAACATCCTGAACATTTCAGGAGTATGTGAAAGAGCACATCTTTCCTTTTTTCAGTCCTCTCTCTCTTGGATAAATTTGTTTCTTAAACAAAACAAAAAAGGGTCCTACTATACAGAAGTCATTTCATCTGATAAAAAGAGAGCTCACAGCCATGAAGCTATTGAACACTGAGGGATTATGAATAGCACAAAATGTCATGTCTCGAAAGAACAACCTTTTTTTAGAAAACTTATGATCATGGTTTTTTGATTTTTTTTAGAAGTGTCCTTGAAACAACTGCTTAAACAAATTATTCTCAGTGATATTTGTGGTTCAGATTCAGATGATGTTGTGAATGAAAATATGTGTGACAGTGGCTGAAAACATATTCACACAAAAATGGGTTTTGCACCTTCAGCACCCTGATTTGAATGAAACAAGCACAAATAATAAAGGCTGTTGGGCTTCAAAATAATTTCAGATTTAAATATTGAGTGTCTACTTCTGTAGTAAATTGTGTGCTTTTAGGAACACAGGCAATTTGGCAAAAGCTTCATGAGCTTTTTAATTTTATTTTTAAAAGAAACCCCCTTCCCTTCACTAGACCTACTTCAGTGTCTAATGCAAAGCATGAACTTAAAACTCTGCACGCTGGGGCCATGATTTTCCACGTGCACATTTACCTTCAAATGCTACAAATCAGCTTTTTCACACAGCACTGGACATCTGAGGCCAAGAGAAGTGGCAAGCAAACTACGTACAGCTTTGTTTTCATCAGCTCAATGTCATGAAATCGAGAGGTGGCAATTGCCTTTTTAAAGATGGTTCTGTCACCTGGCCAAGGTGTGGGCAGCCCCACAGCGCTCAGCTCAGGGTGGTGGAAACGTCTGCCAGAGGCCAACTGAGGACACAGAACAGGGTGGTTGGTGCCACAGAAGTGATGGCTGGGTCCCTTCTGAGAGACCTTGGCTCCCCCGGATCCCATCCTGAGGGGCTGGGTGTCCCCAATACCTACAGGGTGTCCAGGGGCACCCCCTATTTCATACACTGCCTTTCCCAGCAGCCAAGTGGATCAGAAAATCAATTTTCAGCCCTAACAGGCTATTGCAGACCTGGGCTCAGGGAATCCTCTTCTGCAGCAGAGGAGCCGTGGCTCTTCGGGGTGTTAGTCCCTGCTGCAATGGGCTGATCAGGGACCACCACTGGGTGAAGGTTTTGCTGGGGCTGTCGTGCTGGCACTGGGAGCCATCAGTTTCCCTCCGTGCAAGCTGCCTGTGCTAAATGCAAAGCCTTGCCCACACGCTAAAAACATCTGTTTTCTATAACTCTCCAGAGGTTTCCAAGGGCTTTTTTAACATTTCTGTCCATCCTACAAATCTGTGCTGAACCTTCTCTTTCTCCTCCCTCCTGTGTAGTTTTGGTTATGTGAATGCAGTGTCACACGCTACAGGATTTTTGTCAGATCAGCTTTACAGCCAATTGCTTCACCTCCACGTACTCAAACCTGTTAGAACCTAGCTTGGTTTTACCTGGCTTTGAAGCAGTTGCAAAATGCATTTATGGTCGAGTTTGGGTCCAGGGTTGGTGTTACTTACATTGGTTTTGCAGGTGGTTTCCTTCAAAAGCCACCACTCAGGGACCAACAGTTACTATCCAAGTTGGTACGTTTTGCTACACAACGGGGGTCTTACTCCCTTGATTTCTCTCTGCTGCTGGAGATCTAGTGGACGCGGCCGGTGGAGGTGAGGGACACTTCTCCTCACTTTACACACCTGGCACCAAACCGGGACCCGCTACTCACCCCAGCTCCGGGTACCGCGCTGCGACGTAGTTGTAGCATCTTCCCAGGATGACTTCTTGCAGATTCTTCGTGGTCCCCCTGTCCTTCCACTTCAGCATCTGGGGGGTGACGTCTTGCTTTCCGTGAGTCAGGACGGAGGCCAGCACGACGGCGAGGACGAGGGCGGCCAGCAGCACCACGACCCCCACCAGCAGGACGGTCCGCTGCCGCGTCCGGGCAGAGCCCTGCTGGAAAGGCATCCTGCGGGGGGGGCGCTCCGTGAAGAGCAGCAGCAACTGCTCTCCCGGCGCGAAGGCAAAATAGCTTTCTAGCCCGTCATCCTCCCCCTCTTCCA